TTTTTTGGATCAGCCCTCTCTTCACCTCTCGGCTATGGCCTCTTTCTCTCCCTTCTCGGTCTCTCTCCCTCCTTCGTTACTCTAGGGGGACACTCCGCAGCTATCGCCGCTTCTTCTTCCTCCACGTGGGACTGCACAGTCCGCTTCACAGCTACGTAACAGCCAAACTTGTATCGCTCATCTCTCTCTCTCTCTCTCTCTCTCTCTCTCTCTCTCTCTCTCAGGCTTGGCGAGATGTTACCGGGTCCAGCTTGGTCAAGGTCTTTCAACAGTCTTGGTCAACGCCGGTCAACGCTGCGGTCAACTCCGGTCAACACCGGTCAACACCTCCGGTCATCTCCCTCGGTCAACCCTTCGGTCAGCTATGGCTGTCGGCTCCTCTTCCTCACCAACCCTCTTCTTCCTTTCACCTACCTCGCCTCCTTTCACCCCGGCTGTCTTCTTTTTTTTTTTTTTTTTTTTTTGATCAGCCCTCTCTTCACCTCTCGGCTATGGCCTCTTTCTCTCCCTTCTCGGTCTCTCCCCCTGTCCGGTCTCTCTCCCTCCTTCGTTACTCTGTGGTGACACTCCGCAGCTATCGCCGCTTCTTCTTCCTCCACGTGGGACTGCACAGTCCGCTTCACAGGTACGTAACAGCCAAACTTGTATCGCTCATCTCTCTCTCTCTCTCTCTCTCTCTCTCTCTCTGGCGCGCGCGCGCGCCGTAGCGGTATCTTCAGCGCAGCAGGTACATGGTAACCCAATCTTGTATCGCTCTCTCTCTCTCTCTCTCTCTCTCTCTCTCTCTCTCTCTCTCTCTCCTTCTTCGTCGTGGTCTTCTATGCAGGTGCGCGGCGGCTTCTCCAACCCCAGGTCCGCTATGGCGGACTACAGCCTTCGGCGGCCACCTCTGCTATAGTGCTTCAGGCCCTGCACACGACGGCGCGCATGGAATAGCGGGTACCAGCTCCGATACCAATGCAATCAGACTCATTCTTATTCACACTTTTCATGCATGGAAACAACAGCGCAGCAAACTGACGACATGCGCCCACACAAAACTCAGAGATATGGCTTCCAGATACGAGTTCACTTTCAACTGGCTATGGCGACTCAGCGCCCAAACAACTCACTGTTCACACACACCGGATCACCCTAGATATCCCACACGCGTAACTCTGAACACTCGCACATACACACACACACTTCACACTAACTACAGCTATGGCAGCTATGGCTGCCTCTAACCTATCGCTATACTAAGCTCCTTCTCTCTCGCCCACTGCGTCCTCCGGGCTCACTGCAGACCTCCTTGCACAAGTCGCTGTGACAGCGCTTCCGCATGGATCACGCAGGAATGAATGAAAGGCTGGGCGCTGCCTCTTGATTTATACTTCGGAAACTCGTTGGTCTGCCCTTTGCCATCGGCCCATGGTGCTCACAGTCTCCCGTGGTACTTGCTGGACCGGACTGGGACTGACTGGACCCTACCGGTGACTGACTGTGGACTCACTGCTAACCTACCGTAGTCGTACTGCGATTGCATTGCAGTTTAGTCCACCACTTGACTCGCCACTTGACCACTTGTTCACTTGCCGACCTTCCAGAAGGACTACAGCTAGACTTCTGGAACTCGCTAAGACTTCTACTCTATAGATCTACAGACCAAACCCCAGCTACCTATGGACCTATGACAGACCTACCAACTGTCAACGAATACACAGGTCACAGGTTCAACTCTCGGGGTCTACACAGATACTGTACATGGGTAGGGTGAGGTCTAGGGATCGAACCCTGGGTACTGCATCTGCTACTGCAAAAAGGTGAAAACCGTTTCACTCTTATATAGTGCTGGGCCGTCCAGGAGGCTGCTCTTGCCAATGCCCAAACGTGCTAGACCCTGAGGAAGCTTCCGGGAAGTTGCCAGGTAGCTTCTGGCTAAAGCCTGAGGAAGCTTCCGGGAAGTTTCCAGGTAGCCTGAGGGCCTATAGGCCGTTGTTTTCAGGCTGTCAGGCTGAAGTGACACGGGGCCTGTAGGCCCTGGTTTTCAGGCTGTCAGGCTGAAACAGACATGGGGCCTGTAGGCCCTGGTTTTCAGGCTGTCAGGCTGAAACAGACATGNATGGGGCCTGTAGGCCCTGGTTTTCAGGCTGTCAGGCTGAAACAGACATGGGGCCTGTAGGCCCTGGTTTTCAGGCTGTCAGGCTGAAACAGACACGGGGCCTGTAGGCCCTGSTTTTCAGGCTTTCAGGCTGAAAATGACACGGGCCTGAAAATGGCCCGTGCAGCCTGTTGCAGGCGCAGCATGTAACACAGAGAGAGAGAGGCTAGCCAGCCAGTGAGATACAGCGACATCCACACAGAAGGAAGTACAAGGAAGGAAGAAAAGGAGGAACGGGAAGGAAGGGAAACCCGAGAAGGATCAAACTTGAAAATATTGAACGAAGCTCAGTAGCGCCTCATAGCGAATCTCCTCAGCAGTTGTGCTGAAAAGAGCAACGAGAAACAATGCCAAGGAGCCGGCATGCCGCCTGACAAGTTTCGACTGTCCACCAGCACAGCATTGTCAGAGGCAAAAAGACAATTTTGAGAATGCTGGACACATGAGCTTGTCGTCAGGAACTGGGGTCGATGGTAACCGTGATTGATGCAATCACTCAGGGTTGTTTATAATCCCTCCTGACAGTGAGGTAGGCCAGTGCTTTGAAGGATTGTCTAACTTGTTGTTTTCTGTCCCCAAGTGGTGGGCACATTGTTCGGAATCCGTTGATACCAGCACATTTTACATTTCTATCCCCTGCATATTTTTACCAGTACCCTTCTGGTACCGACGGATTTCGGACATGCCCCTGAGCCCAGACTATCCCCTGCACGTTTTTACCAGTACCCTTCTGGTACCGACGGATTTCGGACATGCCCCCTACGCCCAGCCTAGCTGTTTTTCTGCTCCTAATAATATGTACCGGTCTCGCACACTTATGACACACTTGTGCTGTACTCAGTTTCAGTCATTGAGTGTGAGTTCGACATTGAGTTGCTGCCGGTACTCTTCTCTGAGCGTCTGTCATTTGTACCAGTCTGAGTTCTGCGTCGGAGTCTGGTTGTGAGTGTGTGTTCACTCCCTCTTACATCTCCTCCTCCTCCTCGAACCCAGTGCTCGTCGCAGAGCTGTTCGAAATCACTTGCAAAAATTTAAAGAGTAATATAACTGCATTGGTAAAAGATTTTCTTTGTTGAGGAGGAAGAGAAAGCAGAGAAAAAGAAGATACCTGGCTGGACGTGTGTGGTGATGTTGCCCAGACTAAATGCATCTTTGTATTTCTCTGCCCAGAATGGGCTTGGCGCGTTGGCCTGAAATCGGCTGAGGTAGTCAAAGTAGGAGTAGATGGCTAGCAATGGATCACTACTCCCCATATTTCTGGCTATCCCACTGACATTTTCTGCCAACTCTGTCAAGTTATTGAATGTTGCCTGCCCCTCCTCTCCTATGTCTACCCCATAGAGGAAAGCAGGAATCTTCCCAGGTCTGCCACCATTGTATGCATTTATCACATCCTTTGCGCTCTCCACGTTGATCCTCCCACGAGTGAACACCAATAAAATCTGCGTTGAGAAAAGAAAGTTCAAGTTAAAAACATAAAACTGGGCAAGTGGCATACAGGCATGGCATACAAACATGGCATAAACAACAGAACAGTGAACACTAAGCACTGTGCAATAGATGTATGACCAATCCATCAAGAACCAACATAGGAGTCGATTATGTTTTCGATTTAAACCACCAGTACTTTCGAGCCTCTATTGTCCCATGCTGATTTCTGCCGAGAGGCAAAATATTTTTTCCCCTTTTTTAACTGAACCTGCACAGGTGTGAAATCTCATCTTTTTGCATGGGGCTGCCAGCCTTTTCCATTCAGCAGGCCAAGCCCCCAAGGGCATGGTGTGTTAACCGCTGCTCTGGAACAAAATAGCTGGGAACCATACTGGTGGTTTAAGAAATAAAATTATAGGCCTTCTACGTAGGAGCAAGGAACTACGCAATGTGAATGACAATAAACCAGATTGCAGCATTCTGTAGAAATCCAAATAACTTTGTGCCCGAACTGAAAGCAGATTGCACCACCAGATAACACCAAACAAGTACTCAGAGCAAAACACTGAAGTCACATGATAATGAAAGCCCTCTTCTCGCCTTCCAGACAAATATCAACAATGTCGCTCTCTTATATTGGCACTCGGCACCCAGACTACAATTAGACAGCTCCTATCGACCTAGGCTTATATCTACAACACGTCTTCAACAAAGAACAGCATGACGAATGAAGACTCCAAGTGAACGGTCTGCTCCCACATCACAAGGTATGTGCCTCCTCACATCACCCTCTCCCTATCTTTCTTCTTCCACAGTCCCTCGCCCAAAGACCTCCGCCTTCTGCCTTCAGCTTTGGGGGCAGGCAGTCCGGCTATGGCCGCTGCACCCTACTGCTGCGGCCACACATCTTCTTTGTCGCGCCCTTCTTCCTCCCTAGCAGGAGGCTCATCTGGTGAGCCAGCGCTCCAGCAGCCGTGCCTCATTCCAGCCGGCCAGAATGTTGCAAGTGAGTGAGCCTCACTTGTGTTTGTCCTGTCTGGCTGGGTAAGGCAGGCCCTGGCTGGGCTGCCTCTGTCCCAGTACCTGGGCTCAGGGCCCTTCCAGACTTTGCTGGGGCTCAACTGTAAGTGGCCTGGGTCTCCAGCATCTTCATCCAACCAAGCGACCAGTCGGGCAACCGGGTGTGCAACCAGTTGGTTAAAGATGCTGCATGCAGCAACCAACCCACACGCCCTTTTCTGGCTCTCGTTGGCCTCTACATGGGTCCCTTCGATTTTGGGCAGGTTGGCCTTCACTTAGGGTCAGCAGACAGTTTCCAGCGGGAGCGGGCCTTTTGCAACCTGGCCGAGGGCCCTTATGCTTTGCACTCCCTCCCCCTCCGATTCGAAAGTCCTCTAAGAATTTCCTAACCCAACGCCTGATGTTTCCCCTTCAACATTGCCTCATAAGTCGATACAACTTGAGGTTCTGTCATCAGCTCCTCTCTTGTGAACCAGCGATCCTCTTTTGGATCCATATGATGCCTGAAAACAACCCAGAACTGCAACTGTGGTTTTGGTGGTGTTCCTCTGCCAACAGGCTTAGGAACAGGCGTAAGTCCGTGCTCCATGATCTGATAGATCTCCACGTATCCGTCCATGGCCGAAGGGCATGTGTGGCATACTGTGCATCACACGGGCCTGCAGGGCACGACCAGGCGGAACAAGGGATAAGTAAGGGCCCTCCAGGCCCTGTGTCGTTTCAGCCTAAAAAGGAGGGCCAATTTCAGGCCCTCTTAAAGTCCACCTTTCCTGAAACTTAGGCGCCAGACCAGGGATAAGCGCAGGCCATTTTTAGGCTCATTTCAAGACAACCTTCTTTTGAACTTGAGCGCCAGGGGCTGGCGCGATTCGGCATGGGCAAGAGCAGCCTCCCAGCCGGACCAGCACTACATATCGCTGGTCCGCCTAGGAGGCAGTAGGCAGTTCAGGAGGTAGTCTTCAGGATTCGGCAGCAGCACTCTACGGAGTGCTGCAGTAGTAGTAGCAGATGACGATAGGAGTAGTCTTCAGCGCTGGGCGCTGTTAGGACCTTGGAGTAGCGTTGAAAGGGAGGAGAGTGGTGGAGGCCAGGGAGACTTACCTGGGAGCTTACCTGTGATGCCATAGCTCCAGCTCCATCCTCGAGGTACCTGCAACAAGGCGCCACCTTCACAGGTTAGTACCTGGCACGAAGAGAGAGAGAGTTCTTCTTCTTCCTCTTCTAGTCCACCATCTCTCCCACACCCTATTGCTACCTGACTTCTCAGTATCGACAAAC